AGGGAGAGCCGTTCCCTGGTTGCATGCAATTCAGCAGTTAAGAATATCAGGTGCTTGTGTACAGGCCATCCGGAAGTCGAACAACATCAACAGGCTCAACTCCGCAGCAAAATATCACAACCTCCTCGGCGGTAAACGCTTGTTGCAACTAGATTGTGGCCATCGGATCAGTCTAAAAAGTCGATTCAAGCAAGGCTCCTCGTGGAGAAACTGAAACAGGATGCCGGGCTTCGGGACCAATTTTCTCCCCCTTCTTGCCCCCCTTGCCCGCATATCAGGATGCAGGCACGCGACATGCACCTTACGTAATCTGGAGTATGATGTGTGAATTAGCTGCTGCCTGCTCCTTCTTACCGTCCTCCTGCACCGGCCAACGAGTCACGGATCCGCTTGGTAGCCTCAGGTAGATCCTTGTCGACAATGCACTCGATCTCCCGGTCAGGCTTGAAGCTCGGCGGCACGACGTTGCTGTTGGTGATGGTCTCGAGCAGCAACCACAGGAAGGCAGTGTACTACGTGTGGGGGAGGAAGAACGCGTCCAGCGAAAACAGGAACAGCGAGAATTCGACAGAAGCAGCAATAGATTCGTCGGAGTTCACACCGTACTAGTGCAAGCATCGACACAGTTGATGGAATCGTTCTGTGATCCGGATGCTGGGAGCGGCAAGACTCTCAAAGGGGGAAATGAGGTCGGAAAACACTGCAGGCAGCTATTGATGCGACTGCTTCGAGAAACCAGGGCGCAAACCTCGGAGTTACAAACGGTTTTCGAGTAGTCAACCCCGGGCGTCGAAAACAAACGGGTTTCTGGAAGTTATTCGCACCTCCTCTTCATCGATGTTTTCCGTCCAGATGTCGGCAAGCTCGAACATACTCGAGCCGAACGCCTGCCTGGTCATTCGGCCACCCCACCTCGCTGTGTCCCTCAGCCAGTCCACCTCGGCCGAATGTCGGGCTTCCGCATCCGTGGTGTCGGGAATCTGTCGAGCACATCACGGTAGATATATGGGAGGTTAAAACGAGGCAGTTTTGCCCTCGGCACACCAGCGGTGGTTGAGGGAGGTTTCGACGAACGATGCTGGGGCAATACGTCAACATAAAACGGCACTTGGAAACTTTGAAGGTTGAGCACAGCAAAAAAAAACACACAACCGAGAGTTACAGGATTAACAACAACATCGATCACGACCACCATGACCACCGGACAACGCCAACATCAGCACTATGACCAGCAGCGGCAGCAGCAGCAGTGCGCTCCAACAGCACCAGCAACGTTAAGCAGCAACGGCAACATTTTCGCACCAGAGCCAGGTGAAGCTTTCGGTTGAGCTTGAGGTAGGACTCCTTTGTCATCTCGTCGGATCCTTCCGGGTTCAGCCCTGGAAAGCACCAGTACTCATTGCTAATTTCCTGTCCATACCGGGGAGCACAGTAAGCGTGAGGTGAAAAAGACAAAGACAAGGTAAAAACTGGGCAGTAGAATGCTGGTTGGCGGACCATGGATATGTGATGAGTTTTAAGGACACTTGTTGCCATGAAAGCACCAGCTAACCTCTACGTCACTCCCTCCTTGATATCAAATCGCAGAGTGAAAGCAACGTACTGGTAATGTAGCGCACATTGCACGTAGGGTGTTCGGGCGCAGTCGCGCGGGACGCAAATCACGTTCAATGGTGCACCTGAATGAGGGGCTTCTTCCTCAAAGCCTGCCTTCGCTTCACGGACAGCGGTGTGTTGACGTCGGGGTTCCCCTGCCTCTTGTAAGGCACGGGGTCATCGCCGGGGCTAACGACTGTCACGATGGAGTCCTTCTGCAGGTTCCACATTACCTCCCGCTGTGCACGCATCAGCTCTCGGCGCTCGTCTGGTGTCATTCGGGCTTTGTCGACGCTTCGGCGGGGCGTGGGACTGACGTTGTTGGTTCCGTTTTGAAGGGTTCGTCGTCGCGTGTGCAAGGGGCACCGATCAATAAATGCGGGAGTGAATCTTCCTGGGGGGAACGGAAAATACTGCATGTTATCTATAGATATATGCTTAGATGTGCTTGAATCGTGGGCGACTGCTGTGTGCGCTCTGGTTGACGGCTGCCGTCCACTTCGGGGCGACCGTCCCTTTGGCAAGGTGTCTCGACTAGTACTTCAGTTCTTCAAGAACTGGCATCAAGACTGATGCTGGTGTTGTTGAAGGGGTTGACCGAGACATACTCACTTGTTTGCGTATGCGCATACTTCCATTGGGGAATGCGATGTGGCTATGCTGCTGTTGGAAAAAGCGAGAACCATCTCGAAGTACATTCAGCAATAGGTCGTGCGACTTAGGTGCTTTGCATACCCTACACTATCACTCACCGGTGGCTGTCGCGTCGTAAGTTCTTGGCCATAACGGTGGCGTACTTGACGTGACGAGGCTCTGGAATCTGAACCGCGTCTGCCGTGCTCTCGGCCGATTGATTGCCGAGCTCTCTTTCCAGCTGTTTTGGTGGCGCGGGTGTTTTCCAACCGCGACGTAACGTCGCAGGCGGGGGAAGTACAGGGGACCTCTCAACAACCCGTAACACGACGCCGGTAATTCACAATACGACCTGATAACATGGTCTAGCTACTCCGGAACCCAGAACACAAGCAACGTTGCATGTACTGTACGGCAGACCTTGATGTGCCGCAATGGACAACTATGCCGCTTAGAATTGAGTGGTACTTTTGAAGTGCGACCTGTCTACCTACTTCGTACTTTGCGCACATACGCGTCTTTGAAGTTGAAAAAAACAACACAATTTTTTTCTGACACGTATGAATACAATCCTTTTGGCGGGCCGTAGGTGCTTCAATTGGGAGGCGTGGTTGAAGGGCACAGAAGTAGGAACTGATTCACTTTGTAAAGTATAGAGCACAGAAGAACATGGCTACACGACGAGCAAGCAGAGGAGAAAACTCCACGGCCTTTTCCTGTCGTGAGGCTACTCCGTCTGATCATCTCTCGATTGTACCAACCAAGTCCGAGCGTCCTGTCTAGGCCTTCCACCGTCTGGAATGCTTGTGAACAACCCCGGGATCTGTTCATCCATGCCATCAGGCGAAAGACATGCCAAGACCAAAAACCGCTGTAGTTTGATGACTGTATTTGTAAGTAATGCTTGTGGCTCAAGTTTTCAATTCATAGAGACAAGCGATATTGCAATTGTAGAATTGTCAGGGGTTCTTGTCTCGGTGTGTTGCAAGGGACTTGCTTCACATGACCTCGATGGCATGACACAACGAAAGTCGGGCACTAGCTATATATCGCCGTCGATTGAGCGTTCGTTTGCGGCCAACCTCTCTGATTGTTCTACAGTATACAGACTGCATAAACAAGCAGTATAACAATAACCGGTGTAAGATCTCCGTGATGACTGCATGTACATTGTACGCTGTGCATGTACAACTGTTTGTGATAAGCAGACCACGGTATGTACAAGTGAATACAGTAAGTAGTCTCAGCATTATTTGCAAGGATAAACTCCGTAGCTGCAGATGAACACACTGGACTTCTTTGGTGCTATGAGGTCTGTCTGCCGATACAACGCTCAAGATGGGCGTACCTGCGCCATATGGGTGATTTCGGCATCAGCAGAGGGCGCACCAACTCGAAGCCATGGTTCACTCTCGCCCGCCTCATCGTACCTCCTGCCCGTGAGGATTTCATCGCCAGCAACCTTTTCTCCCAAAACGTTCCCCTCATTGGTAGTCGAGGCTGGCTGGCCTTTGGTTTTAAGGTTACCGATGGTTCCAAGGAAGCGCGGGTTAGGATCAATATTCGGCGATATCCCCGTGATTGACGACTCTGGACACTCATGGCCGTCAACATCATGAACGCCGTTGGCCGTCATGATCGGTTATCCGTCGACACCCGCTTGTGTCTTCCTCTAATCGAGCCAGTGGACAGCGGTAACAGTCGGCGGAAGGCCGCAGTTTCGTGCATCCTCGTAGATCATCCCCATCGAGGACGATGCTTACGACGAACGCTACCTGCCGCTGCAGGCACCTGGGGGAGCGTTGTGGTCGGTGTGTCGCGCCGTCGACACCACGCAATTCGGGCGAGAAAATATGAGAATTCATGTGCCGTTTCAAAAAGATTTGACAGTCCCGTGTACGGTCTCCGCCCCGCATTTGTCGTTCTGCACACGATTTTCAACTGCATTTCTCTCCCTCAACCGCCATGGCATGCCAACAGCGCCGACGATTGTGGCAAATACCACCAAGCTTCGCTCTTGTTGCCTGCTACTGGCTGGTGGTGGCTCGGAGCTTCGTCACCAACGCCAACCACAGCCGAACGCGGTGCGCTCGCAGCAGGCCATCTCGTTCCGCGACGCCATTAGCTACAGCAGCAGCAGCAGGGGCACGGACGCTGCTCCGAGCCACCACCAGCAACAGCCGAACGTGGTGCGGTCGCAGCAGGCCATACCGTTCCGCGAGGCCAGCAGGGGCAAGGACGGCCATGGCTGTAGATGGCGGTCACAAAACACTGGTAGTGATAGGAGGGGGGGCAGCAGGCTACTTCGGTGCCATTCAAGCCGCCGCTATTAGTAGCACAAGTGAGTTGAACGTGATCGTGCTCGAGGCAGCCAAGCTACCTCTCCAAAAGGTCAAGATATCAGGCGGAGGCCGGTGCAACGTGATGCATGACAGCGCAAAGGTGTGTCGTACCACCGTTGTAGTGGGTTTTGATGGGAAGTGCAACGCAATGCGCCAAGCATCTGCTTGTGCCTATGCGAGTTGAAGGGGATTGGAACAGTAGTGCTGTTAAATGGTCCAAGCAGCGAATGCAAGGCATAGCATCACACCCCGCGTCCCCGCTGCCTGGTGTACAACAACTGGACGTTATCTCGCGGTGTTCCCGTTAGACGACACTGCTGTATCATTTGCCTTGGCTTCTAATGCTGCATGCCGCACCAGAGCGTTCGTGCATTCGTAACTTCCATAATCTAGATCGAGTGCTTAAGAGTACGATTACTCCTGTTGCGAATGAAGGCGGTGTCGCTCATCGCCAAAGGGTATCCCAGAGGAAGCAAGCAACTCATTGGGCCATTTAAGTCTCTCTTCGGGCCGGATGACGCCGCCGCGTGGTTCGGCTCGAGGGGGGTGACGCTCAAAACGGAGGGGGATGGACGCATGTTTCCTGTTACGGACGATAGCCAGACGATCATCGACTGCCTGGAAGGTGAAGAATGTCCTCGTCGCCTCAGTGGTCTGTTTCTCTGTAGGAATTAACACAGGTTGCTTGCACATCTGAGAATATGGAGGGACCAGCAGTTTGAACCGTTTTTCCGTCCTGGCGCCGTTTGCCGGTGCTACCCCTCTCTGTACCTCCTGCGCCCCGAACGTAGAGGCCGCGCGCAAAGCCTCAGTCGAGGTCGTCACTTCTGCAAGAGTCACGTCCGTGCTTCGAGCCGAACCCGCGGAAGCCGGTAATGCCACCGATGGCGCCGATGGTGTCGAAGCACAACCACAGCAACAGCCGCCGCGGTTTGAGCTGGAGTTCGCCACGGCGACACCACTCCCGCCTGCTGTGCGAAAAGCACTCGGGGTATCAGCAGCGGGGATCGCAATAGCAGGGGAAGGCAGTGGGGTAACCGCGGCGCACAACAACGGGGCTGATAGCAGCGATAGTAGTAGTAGAAGCAGCAGCAGCAGTTCGTATAGAATAGCGTGTGACTACGTCCTGCAGGCCACCGGGGCTGCGAGAGAAGGCCACGGCTGGGCGAAGAAGCTCGGGCACGCGGTGTCACCTCCTGTCCCGAGCCTTTTTACGCTCACGATCAGAGACCCGAGGTACGCCAGCCGGTTCGCAGATAGAGTAAATCTCCGGTTCGAGTTCGTGTGAGTGTCTCCGAGCTTGCTGCTAAAGCTACCGCTTGTCTTCGTTCGGTCCCAGTTCTAATGGAATGCGCGCTACTGTGGGAACTGTTCTCGTTGGAAAAACACTTGCGGATATTTTTGTGTTGTCAAGGCAGGTGGTATATTGGTTGCGGTGTGTCCATAAGTACTGCTGAGCCAAGAGCTCTCCAAGGTCGTTCTTCATGCTGCTCAAGGATCTGTTCTTTCCTTGCATCTGTCCTCCCAGAGTCTTTTCTTTTCTTCATTTCTCTTTAACGCTTTCTCGCCCAACGTGTCCACCCGCTTCGTCAGGTTAGAAGGGTTGTCCGGGCTGTCGGTCCAAGACGCCCAGCTCAAGCTCTTCGCTGACGAGAAACCCGAGAGTTCTTCCGCCGCGAAGGCTGGAAAACCAGCCGGGAGCAGAGGCTCGGCGGAGGGGGAGGGAGGGGTTGGAGAGGACGATGCTCTGCCGGGGCGGGCGGAGGCGGCGGCAGTAGCGGCAGGCAACGGCGAGTCTGCCGGCGGTGGCAAGAAGAAGAGGAAACGGGGGAAGCAACGGGCGGCCGTGACGCAGCGAGGACCGCTCTTGATAACGCATACCGGTGCGGTGTAAAGTGTCTGCTGAAGCACTTACCTGGTAGAATGGTAGACTATGCATCACGCCGAAATAATGATTGTAGCAAACAAGCGGATGAGAATCCACCAACGCACGCATTTTGCGAGCAATTGCTCTCGTTTGTTCCCAATACCCGATGACGGTTCATCTATCTCCATCTTCGATGGCAAGGTGTAGGTACTTTAGGCTTCTTGAAAATATTTTACCCCGAATGTTGTGCTTTGTTTCCTTTGATAGCATCACTCCCTTGGTAACCCCCCGCCTGCAAAACAGTCCGTCGCAG